TTTTTGGAGTAAAGGTACACCAGGCAATGCTCAGGGGCTGCTCCAGGCTCTGGAGGCAGAGCCTGTCAGAGGCAACTCCCGGCAGTGCCAGGAATCACATGCGAGTCAGGGATCTAACCAGGATTGGCTGCATGTGGGGCTTGTGCCTTAACCCCTGTGCTGTCTAGCCAGCCTCCATCTGTTACATTTTCAATGTTGGCTTGGTGAGGAAGAATCCTCATCGCTACTTTCTTTATCATTTCATTTAAAACATTTTACAGTGAAGCGTTGTTGCTCTTTTTACTTTAGGTTAAACTAGAAGGCCCTGAGTGTCTCGCCACCGCAGGCTCGTGCTGCAGGCTAGTAGCTCTCAGTCCAGTAGGCTCTGAAAGATGGTGGTCACCATGCTGCCGAGGGGATGAAGGCGGATCCCTTCTCATTCATAATCTCATCCTTGTTGGGAGGAGAGATTTGTGTTCACATTGATTTGTGAAGAGATTATGTAAATCCTCCTTTGTGGAAACGTGCTTGGAACTTAATGAGAAAAGTTATGCATGTCTTGCAATCGCCATTTCTGATATTGGAGAGGGCAGAGCTCTGAAGCAGTTACTTTTCCAGACCCCCACTGGGTGTTTAAGGAGCTTTCTGGTTGACCAGGGTTGTTTAGGTGATCCTTTCTTAGTCCTTTTATACGTGCTGAGTTTGGTGCCCTGGACTGAGGAGCGCAAAGCACATTATGTGTTAGGCCTTTCAGTTTCTCCTCCAACTTTTCGTTGCATTCTTAATGTCTTTGCTTTTGACAAGGACTTGGAATGATTCAGTCACCTGTTTCATGTTTTGCCCTTAATCTTGTTGATAACATTGTGAACTGGGAATTGATGGTGTTCAAGTTGTAATTTACCAGCCTCATGAGAGCTAAGGTGAAAAGTAAGCAGCAGGATCCCATGATCTGTCAGTAAGAAAGTAACGGATCAATTTACGTACAGTGTTTGCTTTGCCACATTTTCCTTCTGTTAGGAACTTCTGCAAGGAAATGACATTATTGCTTGTTTCACGAAGAGCAAAGGGCAGTCTTTTCAGAAATAGCAACGTATTCCTCAAGAGAAAACATTCTTTTGCCATGAAATATACTTACCAGACCATTGGACAAATTGCAATCTAAATAAAGATAGAGCTGTAATGTGTTGGGGGTTAAGAATTATCTCAAAGCATTTTGGCTAGTATTTTTGAGAACAGAGTTTCTTTCATTAAAAACCAGAGGTTTTCTATGAACTAAAATGTGTAAAAATGATATATACAGATGATGAATTCAGTGATATAAGTAACTTAAATTTCAGTAGTGTTATACTTCTTATTTTACTTTTAGTTAAGTTGGGGCAGGATTTGAATAGATGCTTACTTGTATTGATGGCAATTAAATGTAATTGAAAGCAAAATCAAGTTATCAGGATTGCGATAGCACAGCGGTAGGGCGTTTGCCTTGCACGCAGCCAACATGGCCGACCCGAGTTCGATTCCTCCGCCCCTCTCGGAGAGCCCGGCAAGCTACCGAGAGTATCTCGCCCGCACGGCAGAGCCTGGCAAGCTCCCCGTGACATACTCGATATGCCAAACACAGTAACAAGTCTCATGATGGAGATGTTATTGGGCCCGCTCGAGCAAATCGATGAACAATGGGAGGACCATGGATTTTCTCATATAAGTATAAAAGTCATAATTTTAATCTTCAAAAAGAAGTATCTACCCATTTGGTAATGTTTGTTTCATAATATATATTTCTATGACTACTACCATGATTAATGTTCACTTCTAAAGCACACTAAAATTTCAGGTTTATTATAAATTTGTTTAAGCAAATAAAGTTTAGTTTGTTTTTCTTTTGAATAATAAAAATGTGTAGCTTATAGGAAAACTTTATTCACCGTTTTTTCAAAAATTATTTGAAAACTTGTATTTAGTCTACGTACTTTACACTTTTTGCTGCTAATAACTTCTTAAAAATGAAATAAAAATAACTTATTCTTTTGCTTCAAAATATTTGTCATCTCATGTATGCCAGATTTATTGGACTGCAGTAGTTTTAGTGCATTTTGGCTGGAATGTTTATTATGACATCACTGTAATCTATATACAGTATGTGATTTCAGATGGTTTCAGTGTTAAATATTTTTATAATTATGCTAGTTTTGGCAATTCGCGTGGAACTTTTTCACATCTCTAATGAATATGTTTTACTTCTGGGCTTTTGAGACACCCGTGTGTTTCAAAAATTAATAGTGTGCTTTTTATGTTAATATTGTGCAGAATTATATGACTGCAGACATTTTTAGAATATATTGAATCAAAAGTAATTACATCAAAGGTTTTATTTAAAGTAGCTGAATTTTAGTTTAGAATCTATAGCATTCCTCCAAATAACAGAAGATGTCATTATAAAAATTAAATAATGAAGTTGTTTTGTGGAATAAAACACTAAGGTTTGTTTTGCTTCAACATTAACAGATTCCTTACATTTTTCTTGCGGAAATTTCAAACAGAAATTTCTGTTTTTTGCTAATACAGAACTGGAATCTGAAGCCATGTTATCTTGTAAAAGATGCACCGTTTATTATTGCCTAACCCTCCTACTGTGGTATTAAATACAAATTTTTATTTTCTAGGAGGTCTTACTGTTCTTATTTATTCCTAGTACCATTTTGCAGGAGTGATGGCACAGTGGGTAGGGCATTTGCCTTGCACGCAGCTGGCCCGGCCACCCAGGTTCGATTCTTCCGCCCCTCCCCGAGAGCCCAGCAAGCTACCGAGAGTATCTTGCCTGCACGGCAAAGCCTGGCAAGCTACCCATGATGTGTTCGATATGCCAAACACAGTAACAAGTGTCACAATGGAGATGTTACTGGGCCCGCTTGAGCAAATTGATGAACAGTGGGAGGATGGTGACCGTGACAGTTACCATTTTGAATGTATTTATTTTTGAAATTCTCTCTTCAGTTATATAAAATAGGAAAATGAAGCTAATCATCATTCTAAGGAGTTATTTTTTTTTTTTTTTTTTGATTTTGAGCTACATTTGGTGGTGCTCAGGGACCATATGTGGTACAGGGACTTTAGCAAACAGTGTGGTTGCTGTAGTTGCATCCTAGGCAAGCACCTTGACTTTTGTACTATCTGGGCCCTAATATATATTTTCAATATACAAAATTTAAAATTTAAATAATTTTTTTTGGAGCATTCTAGTCTAGTTTTGCTTTGCTTCCCTTCTCTGTTTTCCCCTTCCACTTTGCTTGTTTGGTGCTTACTCCTGGCTCTGTTTAGGGGTCATCTCTGCTTGGCAATGATTCAAGGACCATCTGTGGTACCTGGGATCCCACCCAGGTTCGCTTCATGCAAGCTTACCTCTGGTCTGGTGGCACACAATGAACTAGCAGTTGCCTTTTGTGTTGGTATCTTTGATCTATCATTCCTCCCAAGCATTGTTCCTTAAAGCTATCCCCAAACAAAAATAAGATGCCAGAAACTTGTTTTTTTTTTTTTTTTGGTCACACCCAATGATGCTCAGGATTTATTTCTGGTTCTTTGCTCAGGGATTACTCCTGGAGGGCTTGGGGAACTATGGATGCAGGGGATAGAATCTGGGTCAGCTGCAAGCAAGACAAGCACCCTGCCCACTGTACTATCACTCTGGCCCAATATGCCAGATACTTTAACTTTTTGTTACTTCCACACCCATTTACTCTTTAAATGACCGTCTTGGTGAGAATTCTGTGCCTATTGTTTTCACCTTACTTTTTCCTTTACTCTTAGATAAAAGTAACTTCATTTGCTCTTGCACTCCTGACTCATGGGACCACTAAATCTTTCTTATAGGTTATTGGCACTGTTCTCGTAAATGTGAATTCTGAAATACACTAGCTAGAATGAGGACTGAGAGTATTTCTACAATTGTTAATGGTGCTCCCATTTTATCGAGCCAGTTTATACCTTTAGTTTCTGCTCTTGTGTATACCCTGGCTTTGTTTGATGAATTATCATCCATATTGCATATACCTGTACCATTTTTCTCTTGCTTAGAACTTCTCCTTTAGCCCACTCTGTGTATGTGTGCGTACGTACGTGTGTGTGTGTGTGTGTGTGTGTGTGTGCGCGCGCGCTTGTGGCTTGTGTTGTGTGTTGATGGAGGTTAGGGATGGAGCATGCTTAGGGAGTTCAGTCAGGGTCCATTTCTGGCTATATTCAGTCATTTGGTAAAGGGCTTGAGGGGTAAAGCTTATCAGGCCAGGACGACTGGTGGCACTTGGGGGCCTCAGTGCTTAGTGGCTTCCAGGCTTTATTTACCCCACTGTGCTTGGGAGGCTCTGTCAAGTTAGGGTTCAAGCTAAGGTGCTGGCTCCTGACAGCTTTTCTCTCTTCCTGGCCTCTTGACTTTGCCTGTTGCTATGGCTATGCTCAGATTTCAAGGCCTGGCCTCTCTAATCCATTCTGATAGGAGTCTTTCTCTCCCTATTGCTTAAGTTAAAGAAAAAGAGTTCTTGTTAAACTAGTTACATGTTTTTTATAGGCTCTTAAATCCATGAGGACAGATATGAAATTTGTCTTTGTAAATCCAGAAGTTAACACATAAGAGAATCATATAAATGTATATTGAATTAAAGCAGGAAAATATTTGTATTATAAATAAGGGAATAAGCATGTATGACTCGTTGAAGTTTCTCTGTTTTCTACATCAAAACCCAAACTTTTTTCTAGCTCCTTGAACTCCTGGCTATTTTTTTTTTTTGTAGGAGTACTGCTATTTATTCAGCCACTGATTAGCTGATTGAATTGGGCATGAACTCCACACTCCTGGCTATTTTTAAAATATAATTTGAGATGCAGATTAATAATTTGGCCATACAGAAATTTAGAATAAGCATAACATTGGAAGAATAATTAGTAATCATAACTGTATATTCAACAAAATGTTACCTAATTACTGAATATTATTTAATGCTTTTTTCTTTTCCTTCAAATAAAAATAAAAGGATGACCATGACAGCTGTGGTTCTAATTCTACCAACCGTAGTACCTCTGAGAACACAAAATCTTCAGTAAAACCCAGAAGAATTCAGCAGGCCGCTCCCACAGATCCTGATTTACCACCAGGTAACTTCCAGACTGGTTGATAAAGCCAGCGTTGTCAACTACTGTCAGTTATTATGGTTTTAGCCCTTTGTATAATGTATACTTTGAGTGTTCAGTGTTATGAAATATTTAAAGTGGGTGCAGAGAGTAGTACAGTAGTTAAGGCATGTACCATGCTTGAGGCTTATCCTCCTTTGATCCCTGGCACCACATGTTCCCCCACTGTTGTGTGCAGCTGGGGAGGGTCCTCTGTATCCCCCAGCAGCGTTTGGGTGGCCTGGACAATCCCCAGTAGGGCTCAAGCAGCACGGCATCTTCTTGCCCCTGAATTTTTGTTTTTGTTTGTTTATTGGGCCACACTGACTATGCTAAGGGGTTATTCCTGGCTGTGCACAAAAGAATTACTCCTGACAGGCTCAGGCCATATGGAATGCTGGAGATCAAACCCAGGTCAGCCTCATGCAAGGCAAATGCCTTCCCAGCCGTACTATCTTTCTGGCTTGGCTCTGCCCTTGATTTCCTGCATCTGTAGTCTGTGTGTTTGTGGAACTTAAGCCTAGACACCTCCTAAATGTCTTCATTCAAATTTTGATGCTTTGTTTTAGCTGGTTGATCTGTGTGTGTGTGTGTGTGTGTGTGTGTGTGTCTTTTGTTTTAACTGGTTGTTACGGTGTGTGTGTGTATGTCTTTTGTTTTAGCTGGTTGTGTGTGTGTGTGTGTGTGTGTTTGTGTGTCTTTTGTCACACCCACCAGTGCTCAGGTCTTGCTCCTCGTACTGTATGAGATCACTCCTAGTAGTGCTTGGGGGACCATGTGGTGTGGGGGATGCAACATTGATCATCTATGCATAAGGCAAGTGCCCTACCTGCACTGTACTCTCCCTCTGCCTCTAGCTGGTTATTCCTGAAATTCTTTATTACATCCCCTCCAAGAGAAGACACTTGTGGTCTATTTTCTTGATTCTTTTCTTTATTACAAAGACACTGGATTGAGACTTTGGAAACTATAAAAATTCATTAGCAGAATCACAATATTCTGTCATTGAGAGATCAGCTCTTCTTTTTCATTACTTGAAAGTTTCATTCATCTGACTCAGAATTGACTTACAAATAACATTCCAGAGGCTGAAACAGTAAATAATATAGCCAGTAGGCTGTTTGCCTTCCACGTGGCCAACCTAGTTTTGATCCTTGGTATCCCACGAGCCTGCCAGGAGTGATCCTTGAGGATATGGCTGTGAATTATGTACTGAGCACTGCTTGGTGTGGCCCAAACAAAAAAACAACACCCACCCTCTTCCCCAAGCCCACCAACAGCTAATAGTTCATTGCTCACGTATTCAGTGAAGAAAAGCATTGATCATTACATATCAAGTCTATGGTCAAAGTGCATTGCTACCTTAATATTTTTTAACAGTAGTTATTTTTGTCACTGTATTTTGATTTTGTCAGTTATGTATTTTTTTCTGACATACTTGACTTTGGTGTATATCTGGTTTCTGCTTCAATGGTTTGTAGGTTTTCTGCTAGTATTAATTATCTGATAGTGTCTTGGCACTATATACTTGAGTTAAAAGAGGTTGGAATTTGGTATACTCTCTAAATATTATGAAATATATTTCATAGTCTACTTCCTCCAATTTATATTTTGTTACATTTGAACTGAACATTTTAACTAGTGTTGTAAAGTGATATTAATGTTGGTACTTGTTATTTCTCAGCACTCTACAAATGATCTTTGGTGGTAATTCTTTTGGCTTCAGGACAGAATAAAAGTTTTATTGTGGGAAAGGTGTCAGAAGTTACTTTTCTTCTGTAACGTTCTAAATTTTTGCTACTAGATTTTTTTAAAATAAAGTCCTTGGTAAATTATGTTGTAGTTGTTCTTAGTTATTAAGTGGGAAATTCCCTCTACCTCTTCAAATTTCTCACTATGTGTTTCTTCAGAATTTCCTTTCATGGCAGGCAAAGAATTAACTTTAGGTTTAACTGTTGAATCTTGTTATATATAACTTTTCCCCCTTAAGATTAACTTGTTGAGGCAAAATTTATTTTGTCATTGATGTCATGTATTGAAAAGTTCGATGGCTTGCCCTGCTTAGGACTCAGAATGTTTCCAGACTTTAATGAAGCTGTAGTAGAACTTACGTTGGTATTCAGAGTTGGACCAGTTGGACCAATCTTGCAACATAAAACATAAACATAACCTAAAATATCCTGCTTGGTGGCATAAAATAGAGCTATTTCTAGCTGAACTACTTGAGGTAACTGTGGATTAGCATGTGATTTTCTGACTTCCTAACTGGAGAATGCATCTCCTCTTTTATGCTGACATAAATCAATGTTAAGGAACTTTTTAAAGGAAGTAACTGAATATGTTGGGAAATTACTGGAAGCTAGAGCAGCTAAAATTAATCTTGCCAAAGGAAGAAAGGGATAATTTCAGAATCCAGTTGGATAATGGTAAATTATTTTATTTAAAGGTTAACTCATCTGGTTTTTCGAAGACTCATTTCTGGCAATCTTTACCTGCCTGCAAACCATATTAAATTTCTCTGGTGGTAGAGATGAATTTTTAACTTTTTTTCTAGGGCAAGATTAATTTTTCAAGTATCTGTGGTTACACAGTTTCAGTGTTTGAGCAGTTACATAGATCCAGAGTTGCTCTTTGAGGAAAGTTTTGATGTTGCCAATAGTTTTTTGTTTTATTGAAGGTGGGTGGCTCTCTAATAAGAAAAGAATAAAAGTAGATATATAACATTCTTTTGCACCTTCTATTTTGTGTATCTGTAACAGTGCTTTTTAGATTATAGATTTTGATTTTTCAGCCATTTACTGGGTTATGACATGTATTTAAGACATGCCATAGAACATAAAACGTTATAGCATATAGCATGTGGCAAAACGTAATATTCAAAGAAAGTGCATGTATGCACTTATGCTGTATTGTGATATAATACTTTGTTCTGGATGAGGGACCAAAAGAATTTAAATTTAATATGAAAATACCCATTTTCTTTCAGTTAATGATGTATAGGTCTTATGACCTTCAGTTATTGCTAATAATAATAATTTTGATATGTGGACTTAGCATAACCTGTAAGACATGCTTACATTTCTATTTAGAGACAAAGTTTAAAGACATTCATGTGTTTATTCAGGCATTAAGTCATCCTTTCCTCGGTGTTCCCTCCCTGTTATCTCTGTCTAGTGAGACTGCCTCCAAGCTACCTGGGCTGCCTTAGTTCTGTTTGGAGTAGCCTGAAACTGAAAGAAACTTTTGGAGATTTTATGCCAACTGCAGAGGACAATAATGTTCACTAGCTACTTGATGGAAGTTTTAAAAGAACAATTGTTTACCTTATTTCCTCGTGTTTTCATTACTCTTTATCTACTCTCTCCTTTGAATATTTTACTTTTAAAAAAATTTTCATTGTTTCATTTTCTGTATTCATTGTGTTATTTTAACACTTTCATTGACATTTTCATTCTTACATTTTTTTCTCTAGTCTACTTCAACATTTTATGTTAGCAACTGAAAATAATTGAATCCACTGGGATGGCTGTTTCTCCTTTCTTCAAGGCTTAACTTTAGAATATTTTTTTTTTTATTGGGGGGGCGGTACATACCTCTCTATGCTCAGGACTGCTCCTTGCTCTGTATCCTGGGAGAGTTGTTGGTGCTCAGAGGACCATCTTCTGTGGGTATGAAATCCAGACCTCTTGCATTCAAATCAAAGCACATGCTTAGACCATTGACTTATCTCCTCAGTCCTTTTGTGGTTGCTCGAAGTAGGAATAGAAGATGGCAGCTGGATCCAAAAGAACATACTCTTTTGAATATACTGTGTTATCAGCATATATAACTTTGTTTCATTTGGGAATGTTTATAAAACAGGCAGAAATTAATTAGTTGAAGGGCTCTAGAATGATGTTTTTTCTTAGAACATAAACAAGAACTTTTTGGTCATGCCTTTTGTTCTGCTGAATCTGTTTTAAGCTGTATATTTTTGGCAGACCATTTTATGCATCAACCGTCAGTTTCCTCTTTACAAAATATGCTAACTAATATCCTCCTTTCGTTTAAAATTCAAAAAATTAAATATTTTGAAAAACATTTAGTTACAGAGTGAAACTGAATTCCTTTTTTTTCCATATTTTGCAGGTTATGTACAGAGTTTGATTCGACGCGTTGTAAATAATGTAAACATTGTCATAAATAATCTTATACTAAAATATGTTGAAGATGACATTGTTCTTTCAGTCAACATCACTTCTGCAGAGTGCTATACAGTAGGTGAATTATGGGATCGTGCTTTTATGGATATTTCTGGTGAGTAAATGTTAAGAATAATGAAGATTTTTTTTTTTGGTCACACCTGGCAATGCTCAGGGGTTGTTACTGGCTTTGCACTCAGAAATAACTCCTGGCGGTGTTCAGGGGACCATATGGGGTGCTGGGAATTGAAGCCGGGTTGGCCGCATGCAAGGCAAATGCCTTACCCGCTGTGCTATTGATCCAGCCCCAGAGGAAGTTTTTTGATGTAGAATTTGAAATGAGTGACCACTACTTGAAATGTTATTTTAATTATGACTTCTGAAGAGTAATTTAAAAAATTTAATTTGTTGCAAAAAATAACAAAATATTTTAAATTGTCTTTGATTTATAGTTAGGTATCATGCAAATCTGGGTCATGCCACATCATTGCTTTGATTTATGATTCTTCATAAAAAGCATCACTGTATCACTGTATCACTGTTATCCTGTTGTTCATCAATTGCCTCAAGCAGGCACCAGTATTGTCTCCTTCGTCCTAGCCCTGAGATTTTAGAAAGTGCCAGATTCGAGGATCTTTTAGGGTCAGGAGAATGAGACCCATCATTGTTACTGGTTTTTGGCACATTGAATATGCCTCGGGGAGTTTGCCAGACTCTGCCGTGTGGGCAGGATACTTTTGGTAGCCTGCCAGGTTCTCCAGAGGAAGAACTGGATAATAAGACGCTTCTGGGAGCTGGGTTTTATAGTCTCTGGGTCTTGGCCGTTGATGGGATTGCATGGCGCCGGGGGCAGTTGGTGGGTGTAGTGCCTACATCCTGGAAGATGGGGGATCGGGATGGAGGAGGCCCAGTCCCAATCCGAGCAGGCTTGGAGATCTATGCCCCGGGTCCCGCACACCTGGGTTCCTCTGCCGTTTCCTTCATGTGTGAGGCTCGTCCGAATGTGTGGAGATTGGTCTTAAGCATGGCTGTGGCTGGAACCGGAGGTCTTCTTTTATTTATAAAAAGCATAAAATGGGGAAATAAGCTTTTTCGTTGTTGGGAGCTTTGAATTATAAAATACATGAAAAATACGTTGTGCAGGTTCTATTATTATGTATTAAATGATTCATAAATCTTAATACCTCTATTGTTATTCTTACTGATATTTGTACTAATAAATTGTAGTTACATTTCCCCTCTTAATTCTTCTGTTTATTTAAAATAATTTTCTCTTTGTTTTAGCAACTGATCTCGTGCTGAGGAAGGTTATCAACTTTTCTGATTGTACAGTTTGTCTTGATAAACGAAATGCTAGTGGTAAAATAGAATTTTACCAGGATCCTTTGTTGTATAAATGTTCTTTCAGAACTCGTCTGCATTTTACTTATGATAATCTAAATTCCAAGATGCCATCCGTTATTAAAGTAGGTATTTCTCTACTGGTTTAATTGTACTTTCTTGTTTTTGCTTTTTAATTGTACATGATAATCATTATTAGAAACTGTAAGAAATTAATTATAACTATATGCTGTTTTTGTTAAATGTTTTATTTGTACTTTTATTTATTATATTTGTTTTTTTGTATTATGTATTTCAGTGGAGTGAGAAGTTTTTATTGTTATAAAAACTTATCGTTTTCTTTTTAGCATGTTCAACTTTTTATTAGTTTTTTCTCTTTAATTAGAGATTATTTATATAAGTGCATTTTTACCTACAGTGAAATGATTGTCTTGTATTTCAGTCCTTACATTTTTAAAGCATGAACACAATAACTGTTCATTTTCTCCTCTTAAATAGCTTAATAAAACTTGGTTTGTTAATTCAGGAAATTAAAATTTTTGATTATGGTTTCAAAATGCATAAGATGTTAAAATGTTAGGGTATGTATATTTTCGGGCTGGAGCGATAGCACAGCAGTAAGGCGTTTTGCCTTGCACACGGCCAACCCAGGTTCAATTCCTCCGCCCCTCTTGGAGAGCCAGGCAAGCTACCGAGAGTATCCAGCCCACACGGCAGAGCCTGGCAAGCTACCGTGATGTATTCGATATGCCAAAAACAGTACCAAGTCTCACAATTTGTTGTGAGATGTTACTATGCCCGCTCGAACAAATCGATGAACAATGGGAGGACAGAGCTATGTATATTTTCAGGTAATGTTCTTTGCTATATGTGAAAATCTGTTTTTCAAGATTTTGGCATATAATGTCAATGTGTGTGTTGTTTATATTTTTATCGTGCAACAGTTTTCTAATCTGTGTTTAAAAAATATTTCTCATAGGGTTGGAGAGATAGTATAGAGGTTAAAGCACTTGTCTTGCATGTGACAAATTCTGGTTTGATCCCTGTCACTGCATGTGGTACTACAAGGATTGATCCTTGAGTACAATACCAGGAGTAAGCTCTGGGTACCACTGTGTGTGGCCCCCTCAAACAACAAATCAGTTTACATTTGGACCACAGATTGTACAGTGTTAAAGTGCTTGGGTTGCATGTGGTCATCCCTAGTTCCGTTCTTGATACTGCAAATGGTCCCTGCCTAGAGCACAGAATTAGGTGGGTGAGCTCAGCTGGGTGTTGACCCTCAAACTCTCCTCGCACAAATTCACATTGTGACTTGTGACTTGTTAGATACTTAATTAAATTTTAACGTGGAATGGTTTTTTGTTATTGAGTTGCATACCTCTGATTGTTAAAGTTCTATGATGGAAAAAGCTGACTCTAGTCTGAACACTGAGAATGGTGGGTGACTGTGCCTTTTGTATATAGCTGCGTAAATTATTTTTTAATTTTTAATGTTTTTAAATTGAATCACTCTGAGATATGCATTTACAAAGTTGTTCATGATCAAGTCTCATTCATACAGTGTTCCAACAGCTATCCCTTCCCCAGGGCATATTTCCTACCACTAGTGTCCTCAGTTTCTCTCCTGCCCACCTTCCCCCTCTTCATCCTCACAACCTGCATCTGGCAGATACTCTGTTCTCTCTCTCTCTCTCTCTCTCTCTCTCTCTCTCTCTCTCTCTCTCTCTCTCCCCCTCCCTCCCCGCCCCCCTCACCCCCCGCACTCACACACACACACATACACAGACACACCCACACAGAGTTTTCCTTTTAGACACTGAAAGGGTATCATGCAGATCACTTTACCTCCTTTCAGCACTCAGATCTTGTCCAGAGTGATCATTTCCTACTTTCATGGTCTAGTGGTCCTCTGTCCTAACTGGCTCCCCCTCTCCCTTGTTGGCATGCTTCCTACTTTGAACCATGCTTCCTCCTGACCTTCCCTCATTTCTGCTGTTTGGGCATTATTCACATACTACTTAAAAAAAAAATCCCACAAATGAGCGCAATCATTCTATGTTCCTCCCTTCCCCTCTTACTGATTTCACTCAGCATGACACTCTCCATGTCCACCTATTTATAAGAAAATTTCATGACTTCATTTTTCCTAACAGCCATGTAGTATTCCATTGTGCAGATAGTTGTACTATAATTTCTTTATTCACTCCTCTGTCCTCAAGCACTAGGGTTGTTTCCAGATTCTGACTGTTGTGAAGTTGTGAACAGTGCTGCAGTGAACATAGGAGTACACCTGGCTTTTCTGTATTGTGTGTTTTGGGTCACTAGGGTATATTTCCTCTACTGGTGTTGCTGGCTTGTTTTAGAAGTTCAGTTTCTAGGGTTTTTTTTTTATTTCAGTTTTTTACGAATTTCCATATTGTTTCCCAGAAAGCCTGGACTAACCATCATTCCAACCAGCAATTAATGAGAGGGCCTTTCTCTCTGCATTCACACCAGCATTGGTTGTTCTTTTGGATGTGTATCAGTCTCTGTGTTGTGAAATGGTATCTCATTGTTTTGATTTGCATCTCCCTGATAATTAGTATTGTAGAGCACTTTTTCATGTGCCTCTTGACCATTTATATTTCTTTATTGAGGAAGTTTCTGTTCATCTCTTCTCCCCATTGTTAGATAGGGTTATATTTTTTCTTGTAAAGGTCTATCAATGCCTTGTATATCATGCATATTAATTCCTTATCAGATGAGTATTGGATAAATATTTTTTTACATTCTGTGGGCTGTCTTTGTATTCTGGTTATCATTTCCTTTGAAGTGCAGAAGCTTCCTTGTTTAATGTAGACCCATTTGTTTACATTGCTTGACTAGTGGTGTTTCATCCTTAAAGATGTCTTTAGCTTCAGTCATGGAGAGTTTTGCCTATGTTTTCCTCTCTGAACCTTATGGATTCGGGTCTGATGTCAAGGTCTTTACTCCATTTTGATTTAAATTTTTGTGCATGGCATTAGAAAGAGGTTCTGAGACATTTATTTATTTTTTGCGTATAACTGTCCACTTCTCCCAGCACCACTTGTTGAGGAGGTTTCCCTCGCTCCACTTCATTTTATTTTTTTCTTTATTGATGATTAACTGAGGGTCTGTCTCAGGATATTCAAGTCTATTCCATTGGTCTGTGGGTCTGTCTTTATTCCAGTACCATGCTGTTTTAATTACTACTACTTTGTAATACAGTTTGAGGTTTGGGAAAGTGATGCTTCCCACCTTCTTTTGTCCAAGCTATTTAGGGGGGATTTATTGCTCCATATGAACTTCAGGAGTATTTACCACATGGGTATCCTTATAGGGTCTGCATTGAATCTGTACAATGCTTTGGGGTGTATTTTGATGATAATTTTGATGATAATACTCCTCCCAATCCATGAGCAGGGGATTTGTTCACATTTCCTCATATCCTCTTTTATTTCTTGAAGTAGTGTTTTGTAGTTTTATTTGTACAAGTCCTTCACCTCTTTAGTTAAGCTAATTCTGAGGTAGTTGGTTTTCTGAAGTACAATAGTGAACTTTTTTTAAAAAATAATTTATTTATTTATTGAATCACTGTGGGAAAAGTTACAAAGCTTTCAGGTTTAGGTCTCAGTCATGCAAATATCAAACACATTTCCCTTTACCAATACTTATTTTTTACCACGAAGAACCCCAATAAAACCCCACCTCCCACCCCTCCCAATGGAACTTTTTTTTAATATCTCTTTTCTGTTTTATTATTTGCATATAGGAAAGCTATGGACTTTTGTGCATTAATTTTGTAGCCTGCCACTACTTTACTATACAAATCTATTGTTTCTCGGAGCTTTCTGTAGAGTCTTTAGGATTTTTTTTTTTATTTATTGAATCACCGTGAGAACAGTCACAAAGCCTTTCAGTTCAAGTCTCAGTCAGTTATACAATGATCAAACACCTGTCCCTTCACCAGTGCACATTTTCCACCGTCAAGAACCCCAGTATAACCCCCCTCCCACTCACCCCCTGCCTGTGTGGCAGATTTCCACTTTACTCTCTTTCTCTCTACGTTGATCACATTCAGTGTTACGACAAAAGACCCAGCATTGTTATTTGAAATTTTTCCCAACATTCAGACCTGCCACAAGGACATCATTAGACAATATGCTTTCTGTTACTGATCATGAAGAGCATATGATGTCGTGTGGCCACAATAGCAGCCACGCGAATTTGGATTTCTGATATTTTAGTAATAAACCTAGGGATTACTGCCGGAAGACCCTGGGTTCCGAGATTGGTATCTGTGCCTCTGGGTTCATGGTCGTTCAGAAGCCTAAGGAGGCGTTTGAGGGTGGCAACCTAGAGCATTGTCATGGCGGGGAGCAGGGCCAACTCCACCCTTCATCTCACGAGACCTCACATGCCTCTTCAATGCAGTTTCATACCTGGCTGTTTATTAGGCTCTAAAAGATGCAGGTCACCATGTCCCCGCTGCAAAGGGGAATAGGGGTGGGACAGACACCCTTCTCCTCCGAGGGCGGCATAGCACCATAGTTAAATACACAGTCCAGATATTTTTCAGTTGGGCATTATCTTTTGCTCAGATTTCCCCACCACCACTTAGCCTTGATTTTCAGGGACAAATACTAGATCATTTACCTTTCATTGGTCACTTTGCATATCAGGAAATGTCGCGCAGCTGCTAATGTGGCCGCGCAGTTTGGAAAAAGCCGTGGTACCCGCATGCCAGAGCCATGTTTGTAGAAGCTCATGGTCACCGGGATTCCATCTGGGAAAGGTGGGGAGACAGCACCTACCCCATCTGGGACCTCCTGGTGATATCGGCTCCGGTTGGGGCCCAGAGAATTCTCCGGGAGCTGTGGGGCCCTCCAGCCGGTTTTCTGCTTCACTGGTGTGTGCTGTAAGATGGCGCTGGGGGCAGGCTGTGGACGTGACTTCCGGAATCAGAGGTTACCTGGGAGCTGGGGTGGCCCTGTTACAGTTCGGAAAAAGTCCTGGTATCCGCATGCCAGAGCCATGCTTGTAGAAGCTCATGGTCACTGGGATTCCATCTGGGGAAGGCGGGGAGACAGCACCTACTCCATCTGGGACCTCCTGGTGATAT